CATTGTGAATTAAAAAAACAAGTACTCGTTCCCAAAATAATAGCCATAGTCTGACTATTACCAGTAATGGATCTTGAGAGACTACTAGCCAAGATCTACATAAAGTTTCATCTTCTATAATTGTGATGCTTTAACACGAGAAACACGAGAAGTTTCTGAAATAAAATGATTATCACTGTTCTGCGTGTTCTGTTCTCGTGAAGATTCCGACATAAAATTAATATGAGTGTTGTGCTCAAACATTTGTGATTCTCAAACATTTCGAATCTTCCATAGTTTAGAAAAAATACAATACACTTATTGAAAAAATTGTAAGATATAAGCTCAAACTCAGAATCAGATAATTTAATCAGATAATATAATTAAAATTTCAAGGGAAACAAATATCTAATGACACAAAAGAAAAAAAATTCACAACATATAAATGCTATTTGAAAATAAATACTCTGTCAGCTTGATATAGAAATCAGATCTATTTTATAGAGCACATCATCAACGGTAAATTTTCAAATACTCTGTCCATCCAACGGTAAATTATTGACCTAAGTTGTGAAATATGTATGTCAAATATATAGGGAATTTAAATTTATATCACCTTTCAAATTATTCATAAGCACAAATTAACCTATGTCCAAATAAACTAGCTCAAAAAGTTGAAACCAACCAGTTCAAACCTGTTCTTGCTAGTTGTGCACTGTAGTCGAATTGGCCCAACCCAGTCGATCCGGTTGTCAACCGGCCGGTACGACCGGTGGTTTGACCGGCTTGCTCTCCAACGGTCACGCGAGCAGCAGTCAAACCAACCAGTTCAAACTCAACCAGCTGAGGATTCAAACGAACCAGTGGCTTAAATGGTGCACCGGTCGACCGGTTGGTCAACGGCTGTGACGGTTTCTCCCTCCAACGGTCACACACAGTGTTTTTGGTGAAAATCTGTATGTTGTCCTCAGTTTGATATAGCGACCCGGTATTTCCTGTTGTTGTTTAACTGTGATCCGGACTCGGTTCCGTAGATTCGTTGTTGTCTTATCCTCATTTCTATCCTTACTCTTTTAATTAGAGTTTTGTTGTTGTGTTGGGCAAGTTGGGAATAAGTTGGTGTTGTTTTAAAACTTAGAAAATTTTGCCCAGGTTATGGTCTCTCCGCTCGAGTGGGATTTTGTTGTTGCCTCTCCGCTCGAGCGGGGAGGTTGACGCTCGAGCGGGGACCATGTCTGTAAAAGTTCTGGGAGCGCGCATCCGCCGCTCGAGCGGGAGATTGGAAGCTCGAGAGGGATCTGTGAGTGACGCTCGAGCAGGGATTTTGCCGCTTGAGCGGGGTGACTTTTATATAAAGCCGAGATCCGACTTTTTTGTTCACTTTTCAACATCCTTTCTCTTTCTTACTTTTCCAAAAAGCTATTTTGAGAGTTCCTCTCACTAAAACCCTAACTTCTCTCTTAGGATTGATCTAGTAAGAGTTGTTTTCTCACCTTGGGCCTTTACAAAAGTTGTGTTGATCGTAGAGGGCTATCTTTTAATTTGAAAATTCCAGGATTTGGAGCATTTCCGTTTCTTCATCTCCTTCGTTGAGCCCCATATTCGAGGTAGGGATATCCTACTCCTCTTTATGAGCTTTGTCTTTGAATTTTAGCATTTTGATATGTCGGGGGTTGTTGGGTAATTTTGAGAAAGTTTGGGCCTTTGTGCAATTTTACAAAAGTTAGGGATTAAACATATAAACCTATATGCATGTTAGGCATAGAGATATGAGATTAATGTTGGGACATAGATGGAAATGGAACCTTAGGGTTGTTTTGTGAATTATGGTAATTTGCCCTAATTGGTTTAATTAATTAACGCACATAATTAATTGAAGAAAACGAGGAATTGAATTGAGAATGTTGAAATTGGGAATGTATGGGACTAAAGAGTGTAGTCGAGTCTTTTATTGCTCATCTAGTTGGAATGTTGATATATTATCCATTTGTGCATTATTTCCTGCTTAGAAATAATTACTTTGGGCTACCGGTGGAGGGTAGTGTTGATTGTTGTAGACAATGCATGGTGATTAGGCAAACTAAAACTAATCAATTGGATGTGTCATAGAGTATGATCGTTGATAGAATACATTAACTTTATGTGTTGGTTGAGTGTGCATATGGCCAATGTGTTTATATGCATTATGTGTAGACAGTTGATAGAATACATTAACTTTATGTATTGATTGATTGCGTATGTGATTCTGTGTTTATATGCATTACTTGTGTATGGGAGGAGATGGGGGATGTACTCCACGGTTTAGGGGAAGATGGGGGATGTTCCTCTAAACCGGTTAATGGTTAAGGGAAGATGGGGGATGGGCCCAGGGATGCAACTCATATGCTCTCCCATTGTAGTGAAAATACAGCTCATATGCTTATCTGTTGAAGTGTTGATACAGCTCATATGCTTATCTATTGGAATGTTGATATAGCTCATATGCTTATCTATTGAAAGGTTTGTTTGATTTGATATAGCACCTATATGTATATCATCATCGTTTGCGAAGTATGGAAGTAGTTTATGTGTTTTTGATACAGCACCAAAATGTGTATCCACCTGGAATTTCGAAGGTGTTCTAGTGATGAACTATAATCTCATCAAATGTTTTGACCAGAGTATTGAGCCTTGTTTTCAAACTCAAAGTTGAATAAGAAATGGAAAGTGAATTGTAACATAGACTTGACTGTCATGAAATTGTAATAAGATGTAAATGGAAGTGTAAGTATTGACCATCTATCAGTTGCTAATCTTTTAGGCGTTGTTCATAGTCGGTTTAGTATATTTCTACTGGGCTGTGGCTCACCCTATATGGGAACATCATTTTCAGGTACAGGTAGCATGCCACCTCCGAGGACATAGCTTGGGAGGCTAGAGGCAGACATACTTTTGTTGCCTTATTTTCTTTGATTGTATTACATATAGATTCAAGCCAAGGATTTAATGTGTAATTAAGTTAGCACTCTCTTTTGTAACCAAGTGTCAACTTGGAAAGCTGTAAGCCCGTAGGACATTTGCTTTTGTTATAAACATGTAATACTTCTATAATGAAATACTCTAATGAATAGATGAATGTGGATCTTTTTTTTGTATCAGTGCATGTCTCTTTATGGTTGGGTTTAATCTTATATTTTTTTGAGGGCGTTACATTGATGAATTGTTTGGTGAAATCGCAATTTGATATCGATTTGGTGCAATCATTGGAGCACCAAACAGTAACTTTTTCATCAAAATTTAAATTTGATGTCAACTTTGGTGAACCGTTGAAAATGGTCTGAGTCATTTTTTACTCAAATTTGATAAAAAAAGAAATTCACCGTTGGAGTTGCTCTTAAGGGTCATGTTCTCGTAATATACTTTTCACTTGTCAGTGCTGTTGAAATTTTTAAACATTTTTCACTGATTTGTGGTTTACATGTAACTTGTGAGGCAATTCCCCATAAAAAAAAGTGAGAGAATAAAAAAGAAAAGGACAATGTGATGTGTGTGACGTGTCTCTTGGTGAGTGCGTCTGCGTGTGTGGTGAGGTAGAGATATTTGAGAGTTAAGGTCATGTCCTTGTAATATATTTTGAAAAATATTTAAGATCATTAATTAGTGGTAGTATTAATGATTTGATAATGAGTCTCATATATTGTCACAGTGCTGTTGTGTTTTTTGTTTTAAATGTGTGTCAATTCATTAGTAGTGCTTTAAAATACTATTTTTAGTAGTATGTATCATTACCTATATATTTTTCATTTGTAGTTAAATTTTTTAAGCATAAATAATTGAGAGTTTTAATTTTAAAACTTTAGAATGAGCTTTAAGTGTAAAACTTATCATGTGATGTGATATTTATGTTCACTATAAGAAATTACACTTTTGGCGACTAAAATTTTAGTCGCCAAAAGTCAGATTTTTAGTCGCCGAAACATTTTCCCGACTATATAGTTTGGTCGCCATCTTGGTCGCGGAAAGATCGTCGGGGAAGGTATTGGCGACTAAAAAATATTTAGTCGCCGAAAGTCCTGAATTGGCTACTAAACAATTAGTCGCCAAAAGGAAAGGTATTGGCGACTGATTTTCTTTAATCGCCGAAAGTCAGCTATTGGCGACTAAAAATTTAGTCGCCCAAAGTTTTCAATAAATGTGTTTTTTTTGTTTTAGCAACTAAAATCTTTAATCGCTACAAACATGACTCCTTTTTAGCTATCAATTTTTTGGTCACTATAATCATGGTTCTCCTTTTCGGCTACTAATTTTTTAGTCGCCAAAAACTTTTTTTTTTTTTTTTGGCTACTAACTATTTAGTAGCCAAAAGCTATTTATTAATTTTTTTAAAATGCATAAATTGAATATTTTTAATTAATTTGTAAATTATATGCAGTCCATTATCAATGCAATCTGTAACTGGTAAATATACAGAATAATACATCTATCAATTATCATCTAAATCCATTATAAATAATATTACTCATTTCATTATCATATAAATCTACATCAACACCAACCAAGTATAATCTATCTAAATTAAATATTACATACAAAAACAATAGATTTCCAAAACAGAGAATTGTACAAAAATAAATGTCTTCCATATACAGAACAAATGCTCTTTGTACATAAATAAATATCCACAACAGCCCACGCAAAAGCAATTTGTTAAAAAAACAAAAAAAAAAAACCATTAGTACTTATTCAATAAAATTGACATTTCAAATTATAACAATTATAAATTTAATAATTCTGATATATTATACTTTGGAAATTATTGTGATCAAATAGACAACATGTTATTGTAAATGAAGTGCATGGTATGGTTCACCTAAATCAATGGCCTGCAAAAAATACCATTAGAATTTGAAAGGGAAGTGAAAGGCAAATGATTCATAGTGCTTTGTCAAGAACTCAGGATCACCCAAACTAGCAAAAACTCAGGGTCACCCAACCTCCGGTTCCTTCAGTGCTTTGTCAAGAAAAACTACAATAGCAAACAAACAACATGATTAGGCTTTCCCGAAAGGATACCGAAGTATTCATTTACAAGAATCAATGTTTACATGTCCACATCTCTTAAAAAAAAATGTCTCATAAACCACCAAAATAGAACGAGGTTCCAAAGTGGAAGCTTAATGTGAAAGAAGAAATTGAACATTTAGAATGGATGCTACTGAAATGCTACCAAACAGTTGTTTATGATCTAAACACAAATTGTTGACAAATCATTTGTATGAAATTGCTAACAAATCATTTGTTACCCTGGCATCAGCAACTCACTCATATAAATAAACATAGACCAATAAACATCAGTTTATGTATTTAGGTTTGTGAATTGTGACTCACCAACCAATTAAAAAATCCTTCGTTCTTTGGGTTGTAATCACATCTTCTGTTGCATTTGTGCAAGGGAGAGGCCAATAAACATAGACATTCATCCCTATGAATCCTTGTTGCCTGCCCCGTTGCATCACATTCTCCCCAAAATTATGAAACATCTTGTGATATTTCTTTCATGATTGCCAAAATTAATGGAAAAAAGAATGATGTCTCAAGATGATGAGTGTGGAATCCACAAGTAGAGAGGAAATTTCTTTTTTTTTTTCCTTTCAAGTATAGGCTTTGGCTAAGATTGGCAAGTTTTCAGAGTTTATGAGGAAGAGTTTATGGATATAGAAGAAAAGCAAAACCATTGAAATGATTGTTATCCCTAAGGCTATGCTAGGATCATGGATTTGAAGGAATTGGAAATGGAGAAAAAATTTAACTTAAATTTCATTTACATTTTATTCACATTTTCCTTTCCCTTTGCAAATTTCTATCCAAATCCATGATCCAAACAAGGGAGAGAATTGGGATAATGATTGCAATAAGGTTGATGAAGAAGTCTCAGGTTAGAATGTTGGAGTGGGATTGTATGAGAGAAAATTGTGCCTCTCAGTAGGCCCACCCTAGACCCTTTTTTATAAGTTGAATGATTCATTTTATAAAGCTTGTCAAACAGATCATTTAGGCCAAAAAAACAGATTGATTGTATATCATTAATTACACGATGAGATCATATTTGTAATTTTTTTTAAAAAAACTAGCATTTGTTTTAGAAAAAATGAACGATCTACTCTCAAAATTCACATTTGCGGTCTATTTTTGTTAAAACAAAGGTGATCCTATTGTGATTACTGATCAACCTATTTTTTTTTTTAATGAATGATTTGCTTTGCGACAATATAAGATGAACATCAGGATCACAAAAATGAACCTGAGGTAAGCCCCACCAAAGGAAACAGCAGTGACCCATTCTCTAATTTGTATGACAAACTAAAAGGCAGTCTATGTAAAGAATAGTAGATTCCTTAATATCTTACCAAAAAGCTCCTGTAATATAATATACCTGGTACATTTGCTTGTACAATCTTGCAGCTGATGAGTGTGCCAGCAAGATATGATGAGCAGCAATGTATGGCTCAGTTGAGGAGTTACCCTTAGAACAGTTTATTCCAAATGGAGCAGAGCAGCGCTGAGGGGGTATTCCTCTTATATCATAACCACCAATTACAAATACATTGCCCTCATTCACGGTTGTCCAATGCAAAACCCTATCTCCAAATTCCCTAAAGCAAACCTCAGCATATGCTGTGAAGTCTCCCCTGCATCCACAAATTGGTAATTTTGTTACACATATATTGTACATTTTCTACTTCAATCCAGGCATATACCATAAGCGCAAGAATTAGCGACAGACATTGTTTTAATTTCAAGGACTGGGTGATATGTAATGAACCTTTTTTACATTAAATTACTCTAGACTAGAAGTACTTTAAATTCTTATAGTGCAAACTATACAAACCTACCCCCGATTCATGTTCTAGGTAACACACGATCTTGGAGGGCGAAGTATATAATTCGAAAACAATAACTAATACTACTATAATAAGGGAGTTCTCTAAACGTTGGAGGGAATTTGAGAATCATACACCATTTTCCGACTAAGCCATCCTCCATATTCATCTTCAAGAACTTGAGGTACGTCAATGTGCATTGTAGCATGTGTCTGAATTCCGGGTTGATAAAGACAAAATGATATTAATCACAGAGAGAAAAGGAGAGAGATGTCATTTGGTTGGCATTTTGGAAGTACCTTTTCCTGCTTTTACAAGAAAAACAACCTGCTTTGATATTTTCTCAAGTACTAACAAAAAGTATTGCAATGTTTATAATGGAAATCTCAAAATTGTGAGTAACCGTGTTTGACAAGTTCATTGATGAGGTTGTTGTAGTATTCTAAACCCTTTGGGTTAACAGGTCCTCTTCCATCTGTAAAAGAGAGTGAGCACAAGCATATGAGAGAGAAGAACCAGAATTTGCTTTTGTATTCTTATCAAGTAAATTACAAGAGAGACAGTTAGGTGATCCAACTAGGGATAAGTCTTGACCAAGATATGGAGAACCTATAAGCCTCCAAGCCTGTTTCCACCATGCGTTGGACATCTTCCTGCAAGAGATTCATGCTCCAAATCACACATGGACCATAAATTTACAATGTTATTCATGTTAAATCAACATTCTTACGTTAATTAAACATAACGTAAACGGATCCTCTATCCCACTCTTTCTTGCCTCCAATCTTTCTGACTCTAATCATGTGATAAAAAAGGGATTTGAGATAAAGAAACTGGGGCAAGTGGGACAGAGGATCCTCAACTATTGCCTATGCACACAATTTCGATGAATTTTATGATTATGGATTTAATTTAATCCTTCCACAACCACCAAGAAGAATGTTTATCCACCACCAGCATTTCTGTTTAAAATATGGGGTTTGATAAGAAAATAAATAAATGAATAAACTAAAAGAAATCTCTCATCACCTGTTTGGAAGATTATGGAGGTACAAAAACAAAAAAACAAAAACGTGAGAAATGAAAAGAAATTATTTTTTAAAACTCATGTTTTGTTTCTCACCAAAAGTGTTAGAGATATTTGGTGAGAAACGGAAGTTGATGTTTATACAATTTTTAATATATTTAAATTGTTCAACTAAAGAAAATTAAACCTCACCTAAATGAGAAATCATAATTTTCTCATTTCTTCGCTGGCCTAGTATAACAAACAAATTAGCATGTTATCATTGATTTGAGCAGTATACTCTTCCAAAAAATTGAAATTTTAACAACTGTGTTAAGCCATTTGGACACCCCCTAAAAAAAAAAAAAAAAAAAAAAACAGTGGAAAATAATACATTTTACTTTTCACCATTTTCAAAGAATTTATTGATTTCAGAAAACTTTTAAATATTTTTACTTATTTTTAAAATACTCTTTCATTCCATTTCCAATATTAACAAGTGGCCAAAGGCAAAATAAACAATGAACCCTCCCACATTAGATTCAAGGTCCAACACATCACAAAATCATAACTCTCCAATGATGCACTATAGAGGAAATTATCAACCAATCTTATTAAGGCAGTGGAGGAAGGAAAAAAGCATTAAAAACAAAAGCACCTTGTATTTGTGGTAACCATCACATGCTATGTCCCCAGTGGCTTGAGCTTTCCCTTAAAGTTTGAGTTGGACACATATATATCAATCATTTTGTAGAACTAATTAATATCAATATACATCTGTTAAACGTATAGGCATTTTATTGGAGAATATAAAGTTGGAGCATAATAAAAACTAGAAAACCATCCCAAGCGAAATAAATTTTAAGTAAATTCCAATTTAGATAAACCAAATGACCCAAACTCACAAGTCTCATATTCCGCCAAATTCCATTGTTTTGGAATCAGAAACAAGAAGGAAATCAAGAAAAGTCATTTTCGCCCCCTTAACGCCCTTTTTCGGTTAAGTTTAAAGCGTTTTCGGCTCTCACTCCCAATTTGCACGTGCTAATTACATTCTATTTGTTGTCACAGGTCCTATTTGTCGTGAGAAAGCTGGTTGTGACATTCATACGGTGGTTCGGGAGTTGTTTTGCATTTTCGCCCCCTTAATGTCTTTTTTCGGCTAAGTTAAAGGCATTTTCGGCTCTAATTTCCAACCTACACGTGCTAATTACATTTCGTCTGTTGTTACAGGTCCTATTTGTCATGGGGAAGCTAGTTGTGATATCCATACGTTGGTTCGGGGGCTGTTTTGCATTTTCACCTCCTTAACGCCCTTGTTTGAATAAATTTTAACAAAGAAAGCTACATAGGTTTGTCTCTAAGTATCCGATTCCTTTAATTTAACCTGATATCCAAGTACATTACAAAATATTCCTATTTCTTAACAAATTTCATTTATTTTCTACAATAGAATGGTGTGCACAATATGCCATAAAGCATTTTATTCCTATTTTTTGTATAGTTTTACGATTAACTCAAATTGGTAAGTATGTTTGTAGGTGAATGTCTAAGTACACATATTGTCTACATATCTCATACTCATATCCTTATCTAAGTATAATGTCTGACAATGATACTCTATACATTTAGAAAAGGATAAATTACACGAACCTCTCCTAAAGTTTACAAAAAATACAAGCATTAATTTCGGTACATTTAGTAAGACTAAATGTACTGAAATTAATACAAATAGTGCAAAGATACATGACACTCCTACCCTCATCATCTCATAAAATCCACTATGCAGGTAATTTTAGTGTGTAGTACGCAAGTTGGAACTTCATTCATCATGACTAATGCTATACAGTTGGAACTTGAGCAATTTGCTACACAATCAGAAGTGAAAAGGTAGGGGCTTGACACTTTTTGTTAAAAAGAAGGTTCCCATGATATATGACGTAGGATTTATTATCTTAAAAATTCCTCAAAAAAAATCATAAATCAATTTAAAAAGAAAAGCACCCACTACATCGGCATGGGTATGTATGAAAATAAAACAAAATAAGAAATTTCCACAAGAATATATTTTCCTATAAAATCTAGAAAAGAAATCAACAGATCAGAAAACTTCCTGGTTAACCATAGTTGAAAGAAATTTATATGCATATTCAATTGCTGAGTATCCTCCTAGTATAAAAAAAAAATGTCCATTTGCCATCCAGATACACCACAAGAGGAAAAAGTCAAATATGAAGAGGAAAGATTCAGATTGGGAGAGGTTGATCAATAGCTGAACCTAACCCTTACTTAAGCTGAGGAGTCCGGATCCTCTACAGTGATATTTCCTAGAGTGATCTTAAAGTGATATTTTGGATGACTGAGATTTAATTCTACAAAAGTTGAGAGTATAATAATCATTTCACCTTCCAGCTCTTAAGCCCTAACCCTATCACTCTAAGATCATTCTAGGAAAAAACCACTCTAGAGGATTCGAACTCTAAGCTGAGGTCAGCTATAAGTTTTTCAACCCGAACTTTACAGATGTGGTCTATAGCCTGTTCAAAAGTCCGGTAGGCCTCTGAGTCCATTGAGCTAATTAATTCACATCCATACTCAAATTGGAACCGAGTTAAATGCATATCCTACATGTGCCACAAATATACTCAAAGTATTCATAGTTGCAATTTCATTCTTCTAAACTTCATAAAAAAATCTATCATTAAATCCACTATTTCTTAAATCTTTATAATTTGCATAACATGTACTTTATATTGGTAGTTTAAACCTGCTATGAATCTGTAATGTACATGTGTTCACAGATTTTTTAAGTTATATATATTATATCTTAAATAGAGTGGAAATGAACCCTATTATTCAACAAAACATGAGTCTGCACTAGCAAATTCATGAATCCACTATAACATTAGCACAAACATAACTTGCTCTTTAGAAAACCCACATTTGCACTTGAAATTGAGAATTTCATTGCAATTTACTCTTCATCCCTTCCATAAGTCCTATGCAATATAATCAATTAAGAACGTATAATTGATCAAATCAGACATCGACTTAAATTTGCAATTGGTTTTTACAAAGTTAACAAGATTCAAAAAAGTCTAGAAATAAACAATTAAAACTAACCAAAATTATCACAAGGTTCCATTCCATCATCATGAGAGTTAATGTCCATTCATGGCTGAGGTTTTTTTGAAACGCCCAATACATGTTTATGTACCCACCAAATTATGAAGTTTAAATAATGAACACTCCTTGACAGTTGCACATAAAGAATAGGTGATCCTAATAACGGAGGTAAAGTGAATATATACATGGACATATAGTGGTTGCCATCAATTCATGGACATACTTTTGGAACTAAGAAAAAATAAAGAAGTAAGTCATGCATTTCTACCTGTGAAAGGAATGGAACAAACTTGTTTAGCCATGCTACAAGCTTTCTCTGATGCATTTAGAATCTCATAGTAGAAAATCGAGAAGTTGAGTGCCAGACCCAACCTTATGGGGTGAGTTGGAGCAAAATCAGCAACCGCAATATCCTTCACAGTTTAACCAATTCCAATGTGAAAATTCACAAAGCACACACACATACATATGTATTCCTAGCAAAATTGCATTTATCATGCACACATAGAATGTATGACTATTCATTTTTGGAAAGCAATGAGCTTATTAAATTTGAAATGATTTGAAGTGATTTAGGTACCATTTGACAAATGACTATTCACTCTGAGACTAGATTTGAAATGATTTAGGTACCATTTGAAATGATTTGAAATCATGGACTTTCAGTCACTCTGGGATTATGCAGCACATACAACCAAAGTCTTAATAAATAAAAACAACATTAATAATTTGGGAATTCACCAAAGTACTTAACTACTGATTGAACTGAGATACCCATTTCAAAAATTATAAACCATCCTAAAAGAGTATATACAAAGATGCCCATTTCAAAAATATATATTGGCAGCAGAGCAGTGAGGAAAACATCCAATGAAGCACATGCAAAAACGCACACACACACATACACACACACTTCAGGACAATCTTCCTCGTCACTTTCATACTTTAAAATCTTTTCCTAGAGAAGAAACTCATCTAATCACCACAGGGAACTTGAGCAATTTGCTACACAATTAGATGTGAAAAGGTAGGGGCTCGACACTTTTTGTTAAATAGAAGGTTCCCATGATATATGACGTAGGATTTATTATCTTAAAAATTCCTCAAAAAAAATCATAAATTAATTTAAAAAGAAAAGCACCCACTACATCGGCATGGGTATGCATGAAAATAAAACAAAATAAGAAATTTCCACAAGAATATATTTTCCTATAAAATCTAGAAAAGTATATCACATCACTAAAACTTAAATTAAAATTTTAATTTTATATCTCTTAATCACTATTCTTTAAACATTTCTAGCTGATTTGTGGTTTACATGTAAGGCAATTCCTCATGGAAAAAGAAAAAAGAAAAAAGTGAATAATAAAAAAAAAAAAGGACAATTGGATTGACTTCTTTGCAAAAAAAATGAGAGATGCTGTAAATTAAAGAAAAGGACAATTGGACAAGCATTTATACGTAAAAGTCGGCAAGACGTGCTAGTACCGTTATAGAAAACATTAGAATTGTTAACCCAATAATGGAGGTATTTTTATCCACGTAAAAAAAAAAAAAAAAAAATCAAAAGCATTAGATTTGTTTGAACTTCTATTTAACATTCTTTGTTGTAATTGAAATTATTTATTACTTTTTTAACATGTGTTGTAAGATATTTTTAAGTAATATATTTAGGTAAAATTTGAAAAAATGGATAAAATATAATTATATTTCATGTATATTTTATTTATTTATTTCTATTCATTTTTAAAATTCCTATCAATAGGGACGGAGCAAGAAATTAATATTGGAGGTCGAAAATAAGGTATTAGGCAAAGTTCAATTGATTAGATTAGGATAGCTAAGCAATTTAAATAATTATTAAAATTAATAAATTATTATTAAAAATAAATTAATAAACAATGATAATCATCTAAACTTGTTTCAATGACTTGAACTTTAATTACTCACCCCACTATATATATATATATATAAAGGAATTTTGTGTGTTTAAATGTAACATATTAATAAAATTATAAGAAATTAGGAGGGGAGGGGGTAACAAACAGTGTCGGGGCCAACTAAAGATCAGGGGGTCATGTGCCCCTGAAATTTTGATAATTAGACTACTACCTCTATATATAAAGATTATATATTATTTATTCTTAATAAAATTATAGTAGTATCCCTCCTTAAATCATGTAAAATTTTTTATGTTTTAATATTTTTTTAAAATATTCCATTATATTATCTTCCTTATTTTTGCACACTCTTAAAGAATTAATCTATTGATAATTTATTTTCCATTATGAAATTTATTTAGTCAGTTATATCCTTTTATTAGTTAAGTTGATAGTGTTGAACTTATTAATTGTAAATTTTTGTTTGTCTCTATTGCTGGGTTAATAGAATTTAATTGTTGATTATAGATTTATAAGTTATGTTGATGTAAATCTCATGTTAATTGTAATATTATATCTTATCGGTTAAAAATAAATGTAAAAGTATATAAGTTTAATAATATTTCATTATTACTTATTATAGGGAGAAAAAAAATTAATATTGTTATTAATGAGTACCCTCTCTACTTTGAATTTCTGACTCTGTCATTGAGACAAACATAATTAAAGTATCTAAACTTGCATTGTTTCTACATATATATAAGGTATTACAAAATGTAACAGAGTCGGCTCCTAATCAAAATTATGATCTTAATACAGTCTTAGAGTACATGTTAATTAGAATCATATTAATAGAATAGATATACTGGGGTGTGTGAAAGGAGTTGTCAAAAAGTAATTACCTAATTTATGAATAAATGAATTAAAAAAAAGAAAAGAAAAGAAAAGAAAAGAAAGAAAGAAGGGGAGGAAGAAGAAGTGTAATTGCCAAGTAAGTTGGGATTGGATCTAAATAAATTGAAAACGGCACACATGGGAAGGTGTAGAGAAGTCATGCATGGACTTTGGGAAGAGCAGGTGCATTTCGCAATACGGCAAGGCGAGACGTCGAAATCCCATCACAAAAAGTGTCTCTCAAAATGGTGCACGCACACGCTACGAGTTGAAGACGGCACGGATCGACGTGGAGATGTCATGTCATGGACTTAAAAGTCGTTAGAAGTTTTGCATTTCGCAATTTCGATACGGCAACACGTCGCTGTCTTCAGTCATGATTTGGAAGTACCTTGGGAATTACTTTTTTTAGCGTATGGTGTTCATTTAAAAATAAAAAATAAAAATGATTTTTGTAAGAAAATAAATTTTAAGTTTCATTAATTTAAATTTTGATTTTTTTTAATTTTTTAATCTGAACTATTTACTTGTTTTTCTTAAATAAAATTAATAAAAAATATATATTTTATTTATTAAATTCAATAAAAATAACTATTTTAGAAATTAATAAAAATATATATATTTTAATTATTAAATTCAATAAAAATAACTATGTTAGAATATACGCTTTATTTTCCTCTAGATTTTATCTTCGTAGCAGCTCATAAATGATTATTGGTATTATTTTGTTGAACTCATAAATGACTTGGATTAAAAAAATTCATGTAAAAAATTAATTTTATCAGATAACTATAAACATATGAATAAATAGCATTTTATTTTAAGAGTAAATTATTAATAGGTCATAATAATTAGATTTAATTTTTATCAAGTTATATTGAAAATAAATCATAATAAAATCGTCGCTAAAAATGATTTTTTATGACTATTTTTTGCATATGTCACTAAAAATTCATAATTAATGACTTTGTCATAATTTTTATAAATTGTCATTAAAACTTACAACTTGTAACTTTTTTTATGACGAATTTTTCAAACTGTCGTTGAAAGTTAAAAATTAGTGACTTTTTTGTGACAATTTTTTTAAAGTGTCGCTAAAACTTATAATTAGTGATATTTTTTTGGATAAAATTTTTAAATTGTCGATGAAAATTAATAACTAGTGACGTTTTTTAATAGTATTTGATGCAAAATATCATTAATTATCATAGAACTTATTGGATAATAAATCTACATATTAAGACATACACGTAAGTCCCCCGTATTTTAAAAAATGAATAGTTTAAAATTACAATCACATTTGTCATTTATTTTATGAAAATATAATGTGATTTTTTCTTATATTTATAAATGTTCGATGAAACTTAATTTTTGTATAGTTGACTTTTATTATGAAAATATAATGTGACTTATTTATAAAGTCTCGTTTGCAATAAATTTTTCAACTTTTTAGATTTTTTTGAGAGAAAAAATAAAATGATTATAATTTAAATTTGATATTTTATCTTATTAATTTTTTAGCTTATTTTATCTTTTTATAACTATTTTAGCTCAAATTTTTTATGCCAAATGAAGCCAATATGTAATAAAGTTCACATGTATACACTGATAGAATTTCCCGTTCAATATTACCAACAATGTGTCTCATGATGATATTGCGAATTTTGTTTGTAGACATAATTATGTTATTGGGGAGATTTCTGATCCACCAATTAGTAGCCAAAAAATATGGTCGGCCGATATTTGTCAAAGTTTGTTTGATTACTTAACTCTGTTTGGGAAGTTGAGGTTGGGGTTTTTTTTAATTAAAATAGTTATAAAAAAATAAGATATATTTTTTAATTTAATAAGATAAAATATTATATTCAATTCATAATTATTATATTCTTTTTTTTTATAAAAAAAAATTAAAAAATCTTTTTCAAACGAGATTTTTTAATCATAAATTAAAATAAATAAAAAATAAAAAAAATCAATCCACTTCCTAATTCTTAATTAGAAAGAAACGGCACAATAACGACGTAACACATGGATTGGGAAAAATCGCATGGTCGGTATGTTCGATGCTGCTCAGCTAATGATGCGGACAAAAAAATTGTGTACCTTAATTAGAAAGAAACGGCACAATAACGACGTAAGACATGGATTGGGAAAAACTCGCATGGTTGGTATGTTTGATCCTGCTCAGTTAATAATGCGGACAAAAAAGTTGTGTTTGAACTTGTAGCGGAAATTAGGTGGATTGCTCAGATAATAATGTGGACAAAAAAGTTATTCATAAAAAAAAAATTTAAATCGATTTGGCAATTATAATATACTCAATTTATTAAGTTTGTCACTTAAAAAAAAATAAAGACAATTATATTTTTAAAATAAATCATTTTTTTTAGTGACAAATATGACAAATTGAAAAGACTACTATTATTGGATCGGTTTAGTTTTTTTTTTTGTGAATGAAATATATGAATATCTGACAAATTAAATATTTAGATTATCAAAATGAGATCCGTAATGGACGCTTTAGACCCGAATATCACGCTCAATCCACAAAAAAGGATAAATTTTATGAACTTACCCTAAAACTATAGATAAAATTCCAATATTATCTATAAATTTGTTATATTATATAAATTTTTTTAAAAATTTTAATTTATATAATACTTAGTTTTTCTTTTATCAGTAATTCATTAATTATCTAACCTAACATTAAAAAACTATATATATACATTATCGTTTATTTAGGTGTGTTACATTTTACATTAGTTTTAAATTTTTAATTTTATAAAGAAAATAACGGTATAATTATATTAATTTTTATTTTAAAAAGATATTAATAGAATATTAACCAAATTTAAAAGTCATGCTGGCCGATGTTAACCCAACCACATCTTAAAATGTCGCCGTTGACGGACCTTGGATTTTTGCTGATCTTGTTGGCGTCTCCCCCAGTGTGATGGCGGCGGATATATCTGGCGTACATTTGTTGCATGAAGCTTCGCTGAACCTGCAAAGCAAACGAAACAAAGTTTGCAATCTTTTGCTTTATTATTATTTTTATTCTTTTGATCTATAAATATAGATAGATCATTGAGTAAAATAAAATAATCGTGCCGTGACATTAGAATTTAGAAAGAAAGATGAAGTTTCATCATAGATTGAAGATATATAGTTCCGCCTTCAATGAAAACATCCTCTTTCCCAACCTCTCCAATTATCTCATGAAACCCTTAATTTGTCTTGTCATCGTCCTCAGATCACCCATGATGTGAAGCATGACTTCTCTTGCTTCTTCTTCTTCCTCCTCTTACTTGTCATCTCCATCAGACTTCTCTCACTGTGTCAGTATCAATAGAAAAGGGGCCCCATTTTTCCACATTGCGCTTTGGTCTTTCAATTATATCTGAATCTTTGTAGTTACACTAATGATAGTCTCATTAGTGTTCCCCACTTTCACTTCTTTTGGTACTCATATCTCATTTTCTGGCATTTTCATCTATATTTCCAACTCCCCTTGCGTTTCATCAACTTCCCATTCTGCTTAATAGCTATGTTCAAACTTTTCCCAACTCTTTTCATCATTTGCACCACACCATCGCCACGCAATCAACAACCTGAAACTGCCGCCACCACCGGCAACCTAGAAACACGACTGCCTCGCCCAGTCTGAATTTGAGTTGAATGAAATTGATGATGGAATGAGCAAGTCAGAGCATGAAAGTTTGTGATAATTTACGGACATGCCTAACAGTCTTCGCTTGAGTAGGATGTCGGTCCCCGTACTGCGCTTCTATCTAATTTGTACATTGCCCCCTCCATTTTTATTGTTATTACGATTAGAGTTAATTACTGAAATTACTATTTATAAATATTATGGTAGCCTTAAGTTTTATGCTAGATTTTTTGAACCAATAAGCCTATTCGGTAAAATTGACGATATTATCAGCTTTTTTTCAATTTTTAAAACTAAGATATTATCAATTTTGCATAATAATGTTCAGATATTGACCTCATGCAAAAAAAAAAAGGCATGAGATTAAAATTTTTGCTCTTTTAGCTTATTGGTATTGATTCACTACCCAATAAAATCGGAGAACATTAACAGTTTTTTCCGTTTTTAGAACTGAGAATATTATTGGTTTTTGTTTTGTTTTGTTTTTTTTTCGATTTCTTCACGATCAATGTTCCATAATCATACTCCTTTTATAGACACAAAAAAATTTCAGTTTGCATAAAAAATAAATTCAATTTTTCTCAAAAAAAAAAAACATTTAAGTTTTTTTTTGTGCTTACATAGTATGATATATATTTAGTTTTTTAAATGAAAGTTGATATTTTAAAATTTAAAAATAAAAATAAATGCCAAATCATCATTTACTTTATAGATAATCCATAATAGCATGAACAATTATTAATTTGAAGCAAGCAATTCGACATTAAAAAAATTTAATAGGACTGAAGGTATAAAAGTCTTTTAGTTCGGACTTAATAAAATATAAGTTCATAAATTTAGATTTGTGTTAACATGTCCTCATTATTATAATTGTGTCATACAAAAACATTTTTTTTTTTAAACCAAATTTTCTTTTAAAGACCCAAAATAGTGGGACAATATGTTTGTTGGCTAGTCGGGACAAAAGATTGGGGGAATTAATATTATTACTTTTTGTTTAAATATTTTTGATTATCACTAGTGTAACTTCTCCCAAAAAAACATTGTATGAAATACTAATGTATGTAGTCATTTTTCTTTGGAAAAAAAAAATTCATTTATACTCGAGTGTAAATCATGTCTATTTTTTGTTAAGCTAAAATTGATAGAATAAATATCTTACTCTTATACTCGATGTAAATGTACGTAAGATGTCTTAAAAATATATTTTCATTGAGTATACAAAATATTTTTTCATTAGTTTTATTTAACAAAATAGGTAGATGAGTTTAAATGTACGGAAAACAAATAAAAATATTGGAAACTTTAAATTGACAAAATAAAGAATTTGGGGGCTAAGATTTTTTTTTGATAAATTTTCCTGGCTTTTTTTATTATTAAAACATAATTAATTATAAACAGGGAAATGATATAGAGTTCTAAATGGATAAGCTCTAATTTTGAGACTTTAGTAATGACGACAAAGCCAAAAAAAAAAAAAAAGATCATCATATCATGAATGGGAAACCACACTCATTACAGCTCTCTAAAACTCTATATTTAGACTGTCCAATCTTTTTTTAAGGGGGTTGTTTGGAGTGTTCTAAATAAGTATATTTTTGACTTTTTTGAACTAAAAAGTTAAGAAAAAAAAACAATAGTCGTTTGGAATAACTTTTTGACTTTTACGAAAAAATGTGTTATTAAAAAATTATATAAATTAGTGTATAGGAGAAGCTTGGGCCAGAGTAGATTAGTACGGTAGCAGACTAAGAGTAGGAAGAAGCTTGGCCTCCTTTTCGGGTTATTGAAATTGGACGGTGTTGTTCGGCTTGGTGGGGACCCACCACGGGTTCCGTTTTGCTAATTGGAACCATTCAATGTGTACAAACTCGTTCAGTACTATATGCTTGTAAAAATACTGTTAATCAGGATATCAATAGCTATCTGATCGGATTAGTTTTTTTTTGTCAACCATTAACTATAACACAATCCATTTTTTATACAAAACATGATTTGATTATGTAGTTAGCGATATCCAATTAACGTTGATTTTTTACAGGAATATATTACTCAATGAGTTCTAACAATGATCAGTTTAGATTATAAAAATGGGACCCGTGATGGGCCCCCACGGGCTGAATAGCACCGTCTGTTTGCTCTCTGTCTATTCCCTTTGCTACAAATGGTGGGCAGCTAAAGTACAACTCACGTGATATTTGAGTTGTATTTGTTTGTAAAATTAAATTTTTTATATTTTTTTTGATAAAAAATGAATAACTTTTTAATTTTTTTAATAACTTTTTGTCTCTTTAACTTTTTTGAGGTAGGCTAAACCAGCCCTTATAAAAATTATCCAATTTGTTGTGCATATTGTAAGAATAAGAGATGACTTGATGATTTGCTTCTTCTACTCAGGAGGACTTACTGCTCTATAGTAGTAAAACTTTATTCTCTCTGTTGATTAATTAATAATTTGCGAGGCTATTGGATGTGCCCCCTATTTATGGAAAAGAAAGTGTAACGAAGAAATTGCTTTCACTGAAGCAGTGGAAAAATTAATTCTTTTTAATTTTTTTCCTAGGTTGGCACAAGTTTTGAAGTTTAGACCTCTCCTTAACTTTTCTTCATTTCTTCCGTGGCAACGGTTGAGATTTCAGCGCCCAACAGACTCCAACGCTATAAAAAAAAAAAAAATTTCAAAATTTGCGCAAACCTATGTTTTCTCGCGCAAAGCATTACACAGCTTAACGGAGTATACACTGCACTCTCACTAGCCCCATTTTTCTCCACGAACCTACCTCACCGGCGACCAACTCCCAATGGACGGCGAGAAGCTATAATCAAGTAAAGGTGTATCTACTCTAGATATGTTGTTTGGCATTGTCTGATCTGTATGTCTTGATATGTAATTGAATTCTTGTTCATCTATTTAATGATTGATGTTCTAATTTATGCCATAAAAAAAAAATAAAGAGACTCTCCTGACGGTGATCAATGCTTTTTTGGGTTCTGATTGAGTTGGCTGGGTTTGTCTCTCAGCGTCATTGTTTGTCCTTCGTGATGTTGGAGCTGCTGAGTTTGTTTTGCTTTCTTTGCTTGTTATCCTACCTTAAAAAGTTGGGGTAGTTAAAACTAGCGTTGGTCCAACGTCAACCTACAGGGAAACCCAGAATGAATCTTGCAGGTTGACAGCTAATTGAATTTGTTCTTCAAACATATTCTAAAAGCTTGAATCACTTATTTTTTCTTTTTAAATTCAAACCAAGGAAAAAAAATTTATATTTAGAATTCAGGAGCTTGAATAATTCTTGGTACAACCTGCTGGCTAAAATCTCCTGACAATTGGGATTCGCTTTGGTTAGATATTCATCAAAAAGTTATGTACGAAAAAGAAAAACATCAAGAAGAGATCTTAGAGAAACGACAAATCAAAATCATCCAATATTTGATGTGCAATGATTGATTGTTGCAAAGGAAAACAGTGTGTTGGAATTTGGGCCGGGTTATTGGACCCGAATTTGGTGCGCCTATGTGGGCATGACTCATGACCAATTAAATTATCCATTAAGTTTGAATTTGAATTTGAATTATTTGGATAAGTACAATTAATATCTATATCTACCATATCTTATCAACGAGATATGGATAATGAATAGATAGATATGATTGTTATATATATTGATACATACATCTGATATGCATGGGATCAAATAATATACGTTATGTGGTTTTTAGCCCATAACCGTTTTTCTCAGACTCTCTTTACTCCTAGAGAATAGAGAGAGAGTACAATCTGATGCTGAAGATTTCTGCTCAACCGTATACAACCTCCCACCGGATATATGGCATGTACAAAACATGATAAATTCCATACAATAGCATCTTAATGTAAATTCACAATCAACTCCGCTATGTTACAATTAATAATGGAATTTAACAAATAAAAACTAAGCATGCTTCTCTAATCACAACATATTACTAACCCTAAAAAAATATAATGTGTTTTATTTAATATTCAAATTATGCCATAACAGAAAGTACATCATTCTGCAATTTTCTAAATTTTTTCTGAATTTTTCTAGAATTTTAAATAATAATAAACACACATAAAATTAGAAATAAATATTCAGAATGTGGTAAAACTGAAAAAAAAAATAACCAGCAAAGTAAACCTTTGCAGTAGTCTACAATAAAAAATTCAACCCCAGAAAATTAGCACGCAACACAGAAACATTTTAAAACAGAAATAATGAATTATAATCTCAGGAAAAAATATTTTTTTATTTTCGTAAAATTTTGAAAATTTATAGCCAGATAAAAATTCAATTCTAAGTCCAATCAGTACCAACCATGCTCAAAACAAAGCTAAAACAATTATTTATGACCATTTAACGCGATTCAGAATTTAAAAAAAAAAAACAAACAGCGTTAGCACCCAGCAGCCAGCAGCGCAGAAAATGGCGCGCTCGGCTCGGCGACTCAGTGCACGGCTTAGCGTGCGGCTTAGCGCACGGCGCGCCGCGTGATGGCTCGTGGAGGCGCATGGAAGCGCGTCTGGCACGTAGGAAGTGCGCCTGGCACGTGGAAGCTCGTGCAAGCCGCTGACGGTGTCAGATGGCCCGTACGGACCACTCGCCGCCTTCGGGGTGTTTTCCTGGTCCAATTTCGGTACTACCGGACTCCATTTTTCAAAATAAAAATATTCATGGTCTCAAAAAAAAGATATTTAATACATAAAAATTGAGGTATATTACACTATCAATCTAATGAGGGTGGAAGGTGCAGAAAACCTTGTACTTCATCTTCCTCTTTTGTTAATTTTCATGCATATAACGTGTATATATTATTTATATAAATTATTACACATATATTAATGCATAAAAATAAGTACAAAAATACCCCATATTAGTTCTGATACCAATATAAGATATATCAAAATATAACGCAGCGGGTAAAAAATTATCAAGATCATACCTTAGGTGATAGAACCTGAAGCGAAGAATCTCGTGGGTAATCACGTTGCTTCAAAAATGCGAACAATGAACCCAGCAGTGGAGTGATACTACAATATGAGTATCACCCACACAAGTCATAGTACAGAGGCTGGATCGTTTCTCATATGGAAGAGAAGTTAGAG